TTTAGTTTTATTATGTTGTCATTAAACTAGGCAGCAAGATCTAATTTTGAAATTTGTGTTTCTAGATGAGCACTGTGGTGACGTGTAAGGGAGCAGCAGCGGGTGGGGAGAAGTATCAGACGTCACACGCTTTGAGGGCAGAGCCGCCAAGATTTCCTGATGATCTGATGAAAGAATGGAAGAGCAATCAAAAGTGTTTTTTTTAATTTATTTCCATGCTGTTTCTATTTTTGAAATACTTTTTGTTTCTTCAGTGATGGGAATTGAAACCAGGAGTTCTGTCCATGCTAAGTAAGTTTTCTACCACAGAGTCAAGCACACCTGCAGTCCCCAAACTCCCAAGGTTTGGTTTGGTAATTGGAAGAACTCAATAGTCATTTTTTTATCAGCTGAGATGCCAACTTCTAAAGGGAAACATTGAGCAGAATGTCAGTTGTTGGCCCTTTTGTAAAGAACATTGAGAAAAAATTTACTTCTGTTCCCATTTTGAACACTATAATTAAGAGCTGTCTTTTTCCCTCATTGGCCAGCTGAAGGCAAGAGGGTCACCCACAGCTGTACTGAGTCACCAGGTGGAAGTTTCACTTGACACGATCTGATGTGGGAGAGGGTTGAACATATGCCGGAAAGACGTTGGTGTCATTCATTACATGGGACTGAGTGACCTTCCTTGTATGGCTTATTCAAGACTATCTACCAGTGAAAGAAATCATTATCTTCATACATAAAAAATTAAGAAAATTTTAAGATGAGAGAGAGAATTGCACGTATATTTTTCAAAGTATTACCAACATTTATTATCCAAGACCATTAATTTCTTGGCAAATTGATTACAGAAAAACCACTGTTAACTTTTTCAAAGGCAGCAGTATCACAATGATAGTTTATAAACATTTTGGATCTGTTTATGACTTGTGTCAAATTTTCTTTTTCAAAGAAGGTTTGCTATGTAGCCCTCCTGCCTCCATTTCTGGAATGCTGGGATTCCTGACTTAAATATTCTTCTTGATGAATGCTAATAGGACAGTCCAGGCTGGAGGTGGGGCTCAGTTGGCCATACTTGCCTAGCAGCAGAAAGTCCTGGGCTCAACATTCCCTAAACCGCACAAACCTATCATGGTAGCACTTGCGATCCCAGTGCTGAGCAGGTGGAGGCAGGAGAATCATAAATTTAAAGTTATCCTCAGATACATAGGGAGACAAGGCCAACCTGGGTATCATGAGACCCTGTCTCAAAAACTACACACCCCCAAAAGACAAATGAGGCAAACTAACTGCTCTGGGGAAAACAGAAAATGCCAGAAACAATCTGTATCTTGGCAATATGCGTAAAACTCTTTGAGGTTTATAAGACAGTTTCATATTTTAATTACACTAAACAATATGAAATTGAGTTCTGTATGTCTAAATATCAATAACTTCTTTCTTAAGTTATTGATCTTTTTGATTTTTTTGAGATGAAATCTTGCTATTATACTATGGGCTGACCTCAAGATCAGGGTCTTCTCATGTCCACCTTCCAAGTACAGGCACTACTGGTGTACCCCAGCACAGCTGCCTCACACCCCAGGACAGCACAGGGAGCATTGCTGCCACGCTACACTTTAGGGAAAGAAAGACGCCTGAGAAGGTTCGCTGTAAATCACACTGGAAACATTACTTCTTTGCTGCTCTCCTTCTTATGCAGTCTCACTGTGTAGCCCTGGGTTGGGCTGGAACTTGCCAGTGTAGACCAGGTTGGCCTCAAGCGTGTGTTGATTCTCCATCTCTGCCCTATGATTGCTGGAATTACAGATGTGAGCCACCATGTCCAGAGGAAGGTATCAATTTATGTAGTAATAAATGAAAAACGTAATTGTGAAAGTAGCCGGCAGTATGAAAGAAAACACACAATTAAGTATGGAAAACCGTCAATCCCTCAAACTCATTTGTTACATGGATATGAAGTAGAACTACCTAAATTAGTTGAAGAAAACACATATAAATTAAGGCAGATAAACAGTACCGATTTTGTTACTTAATAATAAAACAAACCTTTCGAATGACATATAACAAAAATGTTTTCAAGAACTCCAAACAGTACCAGAAATGTAAATATAAACTTTTCTGGTTGATCAAAAGTTAAAATTTCAGGGCTGGAGAGATGGCTCAGAGGTTAAGAGCATTGCCTGCTCTTCCAAAGGTCCTGAGTTCAATTCCCGACAACCACATGGTGGCTCACAACCATCTGTAATGGGGTCTGGTGCCCTCTTCTGGCCTGCAGGCATACACACAGACAGACTATTGTATACATAATAAATAAATATTTTTTAAAAATTATATAAAAGTTAAAAGTTCAGCTGGAGAGATGGCTCTGTGGTTAGGAGCACTGTCTGCCCTTCCAAAGGTCCTGAGTTCAATTCCCAGCAACTACACAGTGGCTCACAATCTATAATGTGACCAGATGCCCCCTACTGGCATATGTGTGTATGTGCAGACAGAGAATTCATTTAAAAAAAGAAATTTCTGCAGGGTCTTGTAGACAGTCCCTTTAATCCCAGCACCAGGAGAATAGAAGCAGGTGGAACTCTTTGAGTTCAAGGGCCAGCAGGTCAACATATTGAGTTTCCATCTTTACTTTGTAATTCACTAATCTATCTAGAATTGCTTAAAAAATAAATTTAGTATAGCATAAAATCAAGACAAAAAGCACAGCAGTATAAAGAAAAACTCACATTAGATTTCTGAAAGATAAGGAAAATAAAACAGGATTCAAGAGTAAGGGCAATGAAATTTAGAAAGTGGCTGATTATAAAACTAAAACACGGGCAGCGGTGGCACACGCCTTTAATCTCAGCACTCGGGAGGCAGAGACAGGCAGATCTCTGTAAGTTTAAGGCCAGTCTGGTCTACAAGTTCTAGGACAGCCCAAAGCTACACAGAGAAAGCCTGTCTCAAAACAACAACAAAAAAGAAAAAAAGAAAAAAAAAAAGAAAGAAAAAACTAAAACAACTCCACCTAAAATTAAATTTAACATCGCCATTGTGGGCTTGGTTTAACCTGTAAGAGAGATCCGTAAATCTAAAAGGGTATAAATTTCTAAAATGTTATCCCAGATTTTAAAGAAACCTAAACTGCCTACACACTGTTTACACAGCATCAATTAAAAAAAAAATCCTCATAAGTAAAAGTATGCAGCCATTCAGATTAAGCATTTTAATCTGCCTTAGACAAGAGAAGGTGAAAATTAGAAGAATGAAATATTCTTCTCACTGCTATTTCTTGATGTGATCTTTGATACACTACCACAGGAGGGAGAGGCACCAGGTGTCATTAATCTCTTGGTCCTGGTCACAGAGGGGCAGGCAGCTATCAACCCACCAAAGCTGCTCGTCCAACTTTCCTAGTCGCTTAGAACCAAGCTCATCTGGGTCAAAACAAGGCAGCACCCTTTCTCACTGTAGAAATATCTAGAATAAAAGTGTTGAGTACAAGCCTGGCTGCCAAGCTATGACTCTACAAGAGAGGAATAGTGCAGAGACAGTGGGTACGGCAGTGTACAGTCATCGCCATGTCTCGTGGGAGGCAGGGTACAGCTCTGCCGGCACGGAGGAATACCACACAAGTCCTGAAGGAAAAGTAGCTTTATTCATAAATAATGTCCACAGTATGCTACAGGAAATGGCAAAACACTATAAATGTATTCCTAGTGCTGAATCTATGTGAATGTATAGACTGACTGACAGGAGACAGTGGATCCCATTTCTCCATTAGAGGCACGGCTGCTGGCAGCTTTCCCACCACAGCCATCAGGGAGAGGCTCTGCAGGCTCTGCTCTGTGTTCCTCCTCTTCTCTGCCTGATACAAATTTAACTAAAGGTGCACAAGACACATAGTACAAAGGCACCCAGCTGAAGAAAATCCCAATACAGGGCAGTAGCTTGCTTTCCACAGTGACCTCAAGCGGCCAAAATTATAAGCAATATATAGATAGTCCTCTGGTTAAGAAATTTCTCTAATGTTTCATTTTTGGGGTTTCCTAAAAACAAGCAAAAAAATAAAACAAAAACCCTTAAGACAGCCAGACATATGGGCTACGCCTCTGAGTTCAGCACTCAGGAGACAGAGGCAGGCAGACCTCTGTGACTTTGAAACCAGCCTGGGCTACAAGAGCTAGTTCCAGTACAGCTAGGACTGTTATACAGAAAACCCTGTCTCAAAAAATGAATCAATCAATATAAAACTAAAATAGCACTTAATATTTAAAAGGTTAAGTATCATTAATCTGGTAAATATGTTTACTAGAAAAATCTTGTAAAGTTGTAAAAATGTGTGGCTTATTTTAAGTGTGTGTATAAGTGTAGGCATGCACACCCTAGCACAGAAAACAACTTTAAGGGAGCTGGTTCTCTCCTTTTCCCTGGGTCAAGGGGTCTCATTGTTTGAGCCCATACTGATATACGTTCTAGGCTGGTTGGCCAGCAAGATTCCAGGGGTTTCTCCTATCTCTACCTCCCAGACAAGTGCTGGGACGATGGATGTGTATCACCACATCTGGTTTTTATGTGGGTTCTGGGAACTAAACTCAGGTCAGGCTGGTGTGGCGAATAGCTTTACCCATTTAGTCACCTCCCAGCACCCTAACAGGATTTTTAAAATATGCTACACAATATAAGATTCCGTAGATGTTATTAAAAGATGTCTCTCTATAGTAATACACTGTCAATATTTGGTACAATAAATTTCCTAGGTATGTCTCATAGGGAATACTCCTTCATTTTCTGTTCCTTTTCAACTAAAATTAGATTACAACTTTATGTGACTACTTTCCAATTTTATGTAATCCCAAAAAATCAGACCCCTTTGGCATTAAAAGGCACAAAAAGAACACACACACAAAGTGGGTAAACAAAGGAAAATACCAATACATTAGGATGGTAGATTTACAAATCTTTATCTTTTGAACTAGTGTTTAAGGTTCCAGCATGCTTTAAAACAAACAAACAAAAACTATACACACCCTTAGGATTTTTAGCTGGGCGTCGTGGTTTCTGCCTGTAATCTTTGCTCTTGCAGGCTGAAGGAGGAGGATCAATACAGTGAATTCCATGTTAGTCAGACCCAGGGGGTGTGTGGAGGGGGGAGTGCAGCAAGAAAGAAAATCATTAACTTACTATCCTTTATGATTTTCCTTTGTCTTGAGACGGGGTAAAAGTGGGGAACAGATGGCAAGCAATATGGCACAGTGGGTAAAGGCAGTTGTCCAGCAAGCCATGTAACCAGAGTCAATCCCAGAACCCACAAAGTTGTCCTCTGACCTTCAAACAGACATTGTAGCACACATGACTCCCTCTTGGTAATAGTAGTAATAATAAAATGGGGGATGGAGGCTAAAGATAGGCCAGCAGTAAAAGCACTAGCCAAGTGTGCATATGCTCAGACGTACATAAACAGTCCTAAAGGTAAGGGTGGGGGAGGGAAAACAGGATGTTTTAGATTTACCATTATTTCCACCTTTGATTTTAACACTCATCCCTACAGAAATAAAGCCCACAACAGCCACCTAAAACCAAAACAGAGGTATGCGTTATTTAAGTGACGGAGATTATAAAAATGCAGGCAGGTAGATGAAGGCTCTCATCCTAAAAGTGGACAGGATGTCTTCATGTCACCCTGTCCTTTGCCGAAAACACCAATGATAAGAAAAAGGAATAGTCTCTTACGCACAAGGGTATCCCACAGTGAACAGGTAAATTATTTAATACTACACAGATCTGTGGTTTATATGGATGTAAGATTTCTATTCACTATCTAATAAGAAGTGCTCACACAAATGACATCAGGGATTTCTTGGGGTTATTCATTTTACTTCTGTAGTTAAGCTAATTCTATTAAAGTAGAATCAGTATTGCTTTCCTGGTTACCAGGTGGTTTTATATATTCTACAGAAACCAGGTAGAAACCAAGAAAATAATAAAATAGGTTTTTCTCTAAAACTCAAGTTCTGAGGAAAACTCAGAAATATTCAAAGATGTTTCCCGGTTTCCTGCTATAATCTCACTTAACTTTATGAATAAGGATTAAGCAAAATTACAATAGCACATAAAAATGCCTCTCATAAACCAGCTCAAATACTGTATCAGTTTGATCAGGTTATAATATATACTTTTAAACTGATTCCCCCCCTTGAGTAAGACAGGGCCTCATGTACCCCAGGAGAGGTTTGGACTTAAGCTAAGGATGATCTTGAATTCCTGGTCCTATTGCCTCCACCTCCCAAGTGCGGAGATTACAGGTGAGCCACCATGCCCAGCGCTCACTTGCTGTCTCTCTTACCACACATATGCACACACACAAGTGTGCACAATTTTACTTTTATTACTGTGAATATGTGTGTGATGTGTTCTAAGTTCAGACATGTGCCTCAGCACACATGTGGAGGTCAGAGGACAACTTTAGGAAGTTGGTTCTCTCCTTCCACGTGCTTTCACCCGCTGAGTCATCTTACTGGCACTACAACTTTGTAATATAAAACTCTTACTCAGGGGGCTGAAGAGATGGCTCAGCGGTTAAGAGCACAGCACTGGCTGCTCTTTCAGAGGTCCTGAGTTCAATTCCCAGCAGCACATGTCAGCGCACAACCATCTGTAACTGTAGTCTCATGGGAACAGATGACCTCTTGTGATGTGCAGACAGATGTATATGAAGATAAGGCCTCCCTATATATAAAATAAGTAAATCTTACTTTAAGAAATATTTGCAATAGCCAATCCCTTCATTAATTTCTATTAAGAGAATAAATCAACAGTCCCTGTTTTGAAGCAATGTCTTTACTCAATTTTTATATCTATGAGGATGAAATAAAATTTATCCTATGTAATCTCTTTCTTCCTTTTTGTTCACTGATATTTTACTTACATGTATGTCTGTGTGAGCATGTCAGATCCCCTGGAACTGGAGTCACAGACAGTTGTGAGCTACCATGTGGGTGCTGGGAATTGAACCAGGTACTCTAGAAAAACAGCCAATGCTCTTAAATGCTGAGTCATCTCTCCAGTCTTCCAGATTCTTCCTTAAAAATTTTTTTTTTTTAAACGAGACAAGTTTTTCTCTGTGTAACAGTCCTAGCTGTCCTAGAACTATCTCTTGTAGACCAGGCTGGCCTGATCTGCCTGCCTCTACCTCCCGAGTGCTGGGATTAAAGGTGTGCACCACTACCACCTGGCACCTTATAATTAATTTTGTAGGTAAACACAGAGTAATGAGCTTCATGGAGGCATCTTGACACATACTATACTTTGTTCTAATTCCCTTCCCATAGGCCCTCCTTCCAAGTGCGTTTTTCTGAGTGAGGACTGCCAGGGCCTGCAAACACCAGGTAAGCACTCCATCACTAAATTATAGCCCCTCTTCAGAAATAGCTTAAATCCAAAGAACATTTATAGTAAACAATGTTCCCTAAAACTAAGTCCCCCAACAACAATTAAAGGAGGGATTGTTTAGAAAACCAGAAAGAAGCAGCACTGTGTACTAACGCTCACATTTCACCTTCTGTGGTCCCTTATCAACAGACTTTAACAAATCAACAAAACAGACTTTATTGTGAACTTCAGACTGGTGTTTGCTTTTTTGATCAGCTCCATCTTACTTGATGAGCTGTCATGGGATTCCCCTCTGTATGCTATGAATGCTTGATTACCATTGGTTAATAAAGAAACAGGTTTGGCCTAAGAAAGAAGGCAAAGTCAGGCAGAAGCCATGTAGCCGTCTAAGAAACAAGAGGCAACAAACCACGAGTCTTGTGGTAAAATATAAAATAACAGAAATGGGTTAATTTTAGATGTAAGAGCTAGCTAGAAATGTGCCTGAGCCTATAAGTAGGCCAAAGAATATGTAATTAATGTTAATCCTCAAAATGTTTATTTCCTAAGCGGCTGCAGAATCCAGGGGGACCAGCAGGATGGAGAATATTTATAGCTACATCTGGCACTGGAAAACAAAAGAGTAGCATCCATTTACAAGGGGCACCCCACCTTTCCAAACTAGACAAAAAATAGAACCATTAATAGAACCTTAACAAGGCTTGAAATGTTGGCAGTGAAAAATTTTCAAACTGTATTTGTCGTGGTCGGAGATATGGAGACATACAATCTACACTCTGTCTGCTCACACTGTTGTCACAGCAGCAGCAGAAATTCCGCTCTCCAATCAGGCTGCCTGGATGGACATAAGGTTGCCCACAAACTGTACTCAGTGAGCTTTGTCCTGTTTAAATGCTAGCATATCGAGTTCATTAATGTCCGTACCATATTTTCTGTGCATAAAGTTCAGGATCAGTCTGTAAGTGACCATGGAACTGAAGACTCTTTCAAGGAAACAATGGTGTTAAAACTACTTCCATGGGGCTGGAGAGATGGCTCAGGGGTTAAGAGCACTGGCTGCTCTTCCAGAGGACCTGAGATCACTTCTCAGCACCCACATCTAAATGAAATTTGGTGCCCTCTTCTGGCATGCAGACAGAACACCATACATAGTAAAAAAAATAAATAATTAATTAAAAAAAAAACCTTGCATGGCAGCTAAGATGCCCAACACCCCCCCCCCCACACCACCACCACTGTTTGAATTAACACTCAAGATGTAGGAGCAATGATGGGGTAAAAGTACCCAACAGAACAATTCAATGCAACAGTGCCACAGTAGCCATTATAATCTTCATTTTCATCTGCTCACAGTAAGAAGAGGTTTGTTTAATTTAAGCATGCACTTGATGAAAGAGCAAAATTTATTTACTTTGGGGGGATAGGGTTCCACTATGTAGCCCTGGCAGATCTGGAACTTCAAATGCAGACAAGGCTGGCCTTGAACTCACAGATAATCTGCCAGTCCCTCCTGAGTGCTGGGATTAAATGTCAACACACCATCTTTCTTTGGTTTTTTTGAGACAGTCCCTGATGTATGTAGTCCCCACTATGTAGGCCTTGAACTCATGATAATCCTACTGTCTTAGCCTCCTGAGTATTGGGTTAACACACACAACAGATATGAACCACTCTACTTGGTTCCAAATACTACTAGTTCCAACACCTTTCATGCTTCCCCTCAACAAACGCAAAGTATGCACCAAGTATTTCTGTCCTTTTGACAGCAGTCACAGGTCACCAAAGCATGGTGAGGCATGGTTTGAGTTGCAAACTAAATTAGTAACATTTTTCTCCCACTTATCATTTTTCATTGATAAAAGGGCCAACAAACTATATAACATTAAGTCCTGCACAGGATTTTTCTCAACAACTTAAAGTGAACCTGTATCACTTGAAGTGTCAGATATACAAGTGATAGTCAGAATTTTGGAAAATTTTCTATCTGTTCCAGTAGTTTTCATTACTTAAAAGTCTTTTCTAATTAAATAATGGAGTTATTAATAAATGCTTGTGTCAATATTTACAAGATCTGCATAACTCAGTAAACTATTTTCCAAATTTCTCTTGTCAGATACCACAAGATCATTCTTGAGTTGAAAGACCCATTCTGGCTAGGCTTGGTGACAGGTCCAGCAAAAGGGACACAGAGGCATCACATGAGCCTAGGAAATGGAGGCAGCGGGACAACAGTCAGGCTGTCACAGCAAACATGCATCCAAAGTGTCTGACAATCCATAGATTTTAAATGAGTTTGTATTCTACTTTATACCTCATGTTCAAGAAGCTAATGTTACGCAGTTTGGGTTTAATATCTAAGAAAATAATATCCACAAACACCTAAAAAGGCTCTTAAATACCCAATTTGTGGTGTATGTGTGATCTGATGGAGATAAATCCTTATACTTTAAACCAAAGAAATAAAAAAATATTTCAACATGCTATATGTTATTTGTAGTTTTAAATTAACATTTTTGAAATATCCATTTTAGTATTTAACATGGCGAATATAAAAAATATGACCCACATTAAACAAAAGCTTTTTACAATACTCAATAATTTGTCTGTGTGTGGTACATATGTAGTTGCAAGTGTCCCAATAAGCATGCATGATGGGTACATCCATGTGACAGTCCAGTCGATGCCAGGTGTCTTCCTCAAAGGAGCTCCACTTCACTGACACACCCAGAGCTGGTCAGTTCCAACTAGTCTCACCAGCCAGTTTACCCTAGGATTCCACTTCTGCCTCCTGCCCAGCTGCTATATAAGCAGAGCATCCCAACTTTTGCTCCTAAGCTTGTGCCACGATCACTTTACCCACTCACTCATCTCTCTGGAGCTAAGAGATACATTTCTTTCAAAGCACTAAGCTTTTATCAATTTGATGACAGTCCTCAGAGAGGACTGCAGCCCTTCCTTCCCAACTTTACCTTTCTAACTATACCTGCTTTTCTTCCCAGGAAGGTTGCAGGACATAGGATATCTGAACTAGAATGGAGACACTATTGTAACAAAATGTAAGTTAGACTTGTTTTTGGAAACCCTAGAGAACAAAAAGATCCACAGAAAAAAGTTCCAAGGTACAATTTCAGTTGAAATTTTATTTTCTTTAAAAATATTTTTGTGGAGCTGGAGAGATGCCTCAGTAGTTAAGAGCACTGGCTATTCTTCCAGAGGACCTGGGTTCAATTTCCAGCACCCACATGGCATCTTACAACTGCCTGTAACTCTACCTCCAGGGGATCGATCCAATGCCTTCACACAGATATACATGTAGGCAAAATATCAATACACATAAAACAAAAAATATATCATTTTTAAAAAAGATTAAAAAATACTTTTGTACCGTCTTGAAAAACATACACATACACAAATGCATGTTTATTTTAATATATTTATATATGGGGGTGGAGAGATGGCTCAGCAGCTAAAGGCACTGCCTGTTCTTCCACAGGTCCCAAATTCAATACCCAACAACCACACAGTGGCTCATAACTGTCTATAATGGGATTGATGTCCTCTTCTGGAATGGAAACATACATTCAAGTAAAGCACCCATAAATACATCTTTTTTAAGAAGTATTTTTGTGTGAGCGTCTGGGCAGGAATATGCTTGGTAGAAGTACCAAGATTACAGATGCACACCATAGCATACAACTTTCTTATGTGGGCCCTGGGAATTAAACATGGATCATTGGGCTTGCCTGTCAGGTGGTTTTACCATCCCAAGCCTGAATTTAAATTTCTAGCCACCTCAAGGTCTCAAAGAGTAGCTGAATTCTGGCAGGCAATAGTTAGACTGTCACTGAATATGCTCAAAGAGAAAGGGAAAACTTTTTGTGTAGCCCCTGTTATCCTGGAACTTGCTTTGTAGACCAGGCTGGCCTTGAACTCCCAAGAGATCTGTCAGCCTCTGCCTCCCAAGTGCTGGTATAGAAAGTGTGACCATCACACACTCTCACTTTGAGAAGACACTCACTCGATCTTGCCTCCATGTACGCTGGAATTACAGGCATGTGCCTCCAAG